TCATCTTTAAAGTCTAAAGTCTTTACATTTTTCGTTCAGCAGAATACGAGAGGGTAGTCACTGTGCAAATTTTCTGTCCTACGGGATCGAGATTTCATATCATGGAGATCCGTGGAAATCTGTGAAAATCCATGAATATATACGTGAATACATCAGAGAAAATTTCTGATAAATCAAAGTAAATATAAATAGCCGGGTCTACAACCTCCGTCCTCCGGAGGACGTCATCTGTCAATCAAGTTACCTGTCAGTCACCTGTCAATCATCTGTCACCTGTGGATCTGACATCTGTTGATTAACTGTCAATGTTATTTGTCATTCGCCAACCGCGCCATCTATCCATTCTGGTTATATGTTATGATATAATTTAAATTTTGATTATTACCAGCTCTGGAATGGCTCCAGAGAAAATTTCCAGAAAATCAAGAGTTGGCAAAATATCAAATTTTGATTATTAGTGGCTCTTGAATGGCTTCAGACTATGGAAAAGTTCTAGCAAATCAATAGCCGGTAATAGTTTGAAAAACTAGTGTTTGTCACTGGTTTCAAGCTGGTTTTGTGTTGGTTTGGCTGATTTCGAGAAAGTTCCCAGGTCCAAGTGATCCTATATTTACTATTGTCCAGCGGCAAATCAGAGCCTGTAATAAATAGTTCAAATTTTGATTATTACCGGCTCTTGATTAGCTTCAGAAAAAAATTTCAGTGAATCAAGAGCCAGCAAAATATCAAATTTTGATTATTACCGGCTCTTGAATGGGTTTAGAGAAAATTTTTGGTAAATCAAGAGCCGGTAATAGTCCAAATTTGACTATCATGGGTTCTTGATTGCCTACTAAAAAAATTACCAACCAAATCAAGAGTTGACGATATTCAAAATGCAGCTCTTGATTGTTTCCAATAAAATTGTCAGTAGGCATATAATGGGTCACTTGAGCCTGGGAACTTTTTCGAAACCAGCTTAAAACTAGCTAAAACCAGCTTAAAACCAGCTGATGAGACCTTAAAACCAGCACAAAACCAGCGTTTTCACTGGTTTCAAGCTAGTTTTGTGCTGGTTTAGTTGGTTTCAGCTGGTTCCCAGGCTCAAGTAACCCTATACCTACTATCGTCCAGCAGCAAATCAAGAGCCTGTAATAAATAGTTCAAATTTTGATTATTACCGGCTCTTGATTAGCTTCAGAGAAAAATTTCAGTCAATCAAGAGCCAGCAAAATATCAAATTTTGATTATTACCATTTCTTGAATGGCTTCGTAAAAAAAATGCGCTAAATTAAGAGACGGTAACAGTCCAAATTTGACTACCATGGGTTCTTGATCGCAAAAACTCAGCTCTTGATTGTCCAGCAGCGAATCAAGAGCCTGTAATAGTTCAATTTTTCATTATTATCGGCTCTTGATTCCTTGAAACTTTCTTTTTTTTTTAATAACAGACATACAGCAATGATCAAAGAAGTTCTGAGACCTAATATCAAACCCAAATCTGACAGAACAAAGGTGTTTCACAAAAAGAAGCGTTAGAGAAGACAGATCAGTAGATAGAAAACTGCTGGACAAATGAAGCGGAACAAGCGAATTTTCAGTTCGAACTAAAGAAGATGTCAATGAGTGGTTTGCGTAATTTAAAGGTTAATTTTCGCAAACCGCTCATTGATATATTCTTCAGTTCGCGTAATATTGGAATTTGAAGTTAACCTAAAAATTCGCTTGTTTCGCTTCATTTGTTCAGCAGTGTAGTTGATTCGTTCTACGCCCTCCGTCCTCCGGAGATTTATCAGTAAGAAATCTCTGACGTCATCCGTCTGTGTCAGTCACCTGCCACTCATCTATCAATCAACTGTCAATGTCCATCTATCAATGTCATTTATCAATCATCTGTCAATGTCATCACTTTTTGGATTAGTTTGAGTTGGTTGCAGTAGGCTGGGTTAGTTCGGAGTAGATTCGAGTTGGTTGGAGAAGATTAGAGTAGATGACATCGACAGATGATTTAGTAATGACATTGACAGATGATTGATAGATGACTGACACTGACGGATGACGTCAGAGAAAATTGAAAATTTTGCAATCTGCAAAGTCCCATTATTCAAGAATTTAGTATTAATTATAAAGACTGCTGTTTTAATAGAATTCTAGATGTAAATTGAGCCTATGGAGATTCTGAAGCCGATCAGGAATCAATAGACTTCAAATAAGGCTCTTCATTTAAAGTCATTTGAGTTCTTTGATAATTCCAAAGATCTTGAATGCTTAAAAATGTCTCAAGGCTTGATTTCGACAATTTTAAGGCTCTTTACATGAAGCTCCCAAAATTTCAAAGATCTTAAAAGACTCAGGAAAGTGTCTTCCAAGATTCATAACCTAATACTTTGTATTCTAAAGACACAACACTAAAAACTTTTGTAGACTCATTTTTAAAGTCTAAAGTCTTCACATGCATCCGTTTTCCGACGTCCAATTTCCGAAAAACCTTCTATTCTGACATATTTTCATAAGATTATGTTAAAATAGAAGGTTTTTCGGACATCGGACGTCGGAAAACGGATGCATGAGACTCCGGCCTTATTCGTTCAGCAGAATCTGAAGAGTCACTACATGTTCTGTCCTACGGGATGGACATCTCATGTCATGGAGATCCGTGGAAATCTGTGAAAATCCATGAATTTCCGTGGATACATCAGAGAAAATTTCCAGTAAATCAAAGTAGATATAAATAGCCGGTTCTGCAACCGGAGGAGATGACGTCATCTGTCAATCAAGTTACGGAGAGCCGATAATAGTTCAAATTTTGATTATTACCGGCCCTTGAATCGCTTTAGAGAAAATTTCCAGCCAATCAAGAGCCAGCAAAATATCAAATTTTGATTATTACCGGCTCTTGATTGGCTCTAGAGAAAATTTCCAGTGAATCAAGAGACGGTAACAGTTCAAATTTTGATTATTTCCGGCCCTTGAATCGCTTTAGAGAAAATTTACAGCCAATCAAGAGCCAGCAAAATATCAAATTTTGACTATTAGCGGCTCTTGAATAGCTTTAGAGAAAAGTTCCACCAAATTAAGAGCCAGTAACAGTTCAAATTTTGAGTATTACCGGCGTTTGAATAGCTTCAGAGAATATTTCCAGCCAATCAAGAGCCAGCAAAATATCAAATTTTGAATATTACCGGCTCTTGATTGGCTTTAGTGAAAATTTCCAGCCAATGAAGAGCCAGCAAAATATCAAATTTTGACTATTACCGGCGCTTGAATGGCTTCAGAGAAAAGTTTCCAGCAAATCAAGAGCCGGTAACAGTTCAAATTTTGATTATACCGGCTCTTGATTTGCTTCAGAGAAAATTTACAGCCAATCAAGAGCCAGCAAAATATCAGATTTTGATTATAACCAGCTCTTGATTGGCTTCAGTGAAAATTTCTAGCCAATCAAGAGCTAGCAAAATATCAAATTTGGATTATTACCGGCTCTTGATTGGCTTAAGAGAAAATTTTCAGCAAATCAACAGCCGATAATAATAGATGAAATTTCGATTATTACCGGCACTTGATTGGCTTCAAATAAAATTTTCAGCAATTCAAGAGCCTGTAATAGTCCAAATTTGACTATCTCGGGTTCTTGATTGCTTACTGAAAAAAAATACCAAACCAATCAAGAGCTGATTTGTATTCAAAACTAACTTATTTATTGATTGTTTTCGAGCAGCGAATCAAGACTAATCAAGCAAGAGCCTGTAAAAGTCCAAATTTCATTCTTATTGGCTCTTGATTTGTTAAATAATCCAATCCAATACCAGAATCACAGCAATAATAATCATAGGAGACTTCTTATGTCAAACCAAAGTCTGACCGAATAAAGTTGTTCCACAAAGAGGTGACTCATTGACATCAAAATGAATCTCTCATGTCTCAAAAATTACTCTAAAAGTTCGAAAGTTTGATGGCTGAATGCTGTGATCATTGATTTTCCAAGAAGACTATAGAAGGAAGCGTTAGACTGAAGACACAATGACAAATACAAGGTACAAATGACGAGACAAAAATATAATAACACGTGCATTAATACTTAAACCCAGAATAAAAATGGATACAGGATACAATTTACTTGCCATGCCAGGATACAAAATTTCGATTTTTTTTTATTTGGTATCTTGTTACTTATAGTTTGTACCTTGTATTTTCCATTGTGTCTTCAGCGTTATAGAGGAGATTTTGGAGACAGCAAAATTTAAAGAATCAAGACTGACTTCAGATTTTAGACCTTTGAAGGGTCCAGATATATGAAGCTCCTATCAATTATATTTACGACTGAATACTAAAATACTTAAGATTCTATAACACAAAAGAGTCAAAATTGAAAATCTTGCAATTTTCAAAATGAATTCAGGACTTGACATAGATTCCAAAGATTTTGAAAGACTCAGAAAAGTGCCTTTCAAGATTCATAACTTAAATAAATAAACTTTTTTCTTCTAAAGACTCAACACTAAAGACTTTTGAAGGAGTCTGCACACTCATTTTTTAAGAGCTTAGATTCAGCTGTCGAAGTTCCTAAAGCCTCGAAAAACCGAAAAATGCCATGTGGCAATCAGAAAGATAATATTTGAGTTGCAGCTGGTGACCACATTTTTCGAAGAAGGTAAAAAGGGCCTTCTTCATCATGGTCGGTATACCCAAATTGAAATTTTATATACAGTTTCGGGAGTTTCAGTTTTAGACAAAGGAACGACTTGGATTTCAATAGCATTTTCAACACTCATTATTTTTTTAAAATTAAACAACCTTGGGCCAATTCGATTTGATCTTCACTTCTTAATTTAACTTGTTTTTGTTATTACTTTTCAAGCAAACTTGTTTGCTTTCCTTTTTCTATTTTTTTTTATATTGATTTTCATATAAATATGATGAAAAAGCGAAATACTGTCTAGACGCTTCCGCTATAGGTACCTTAGTTTAGATAGAAATTCAATAACAGGAAACAGGAACTAACATTGCAGTGCTATAGGACAAAAAATGCATCTGAAAAATATTATGGAAAATTTATTCAAGCATCAATTAAAATTTCAATTATTATTCATCAGTGTTTATTTGTACCAATCGAAACCATAAACCTTAATAGAAGCCATACAAATAAACAATTATTGGCAATTAAAAAGCTCCATCTAAAAAATATTCATGCATGGAATTTTCCATCGCCATCGGCGTCTGATAAAATGTTCAAAAACCATCAATTATCGACTTTTGACTAAAGCGAAAGTGCGCCACTGATAAACCTTACGTCAGAGACATAGCGGTTTGTGGGGGTTTTATTCGAAACAGTGGTTTGAGATTTTGTGTATGAGTACAAAACTAAAAATAACTATTAAATGGCAAATAAAATACTGCAACAAGCGATACAATCATCAAAATACTTAATAATACTAAAGGTATAATCTTATTTTCTTGTCCTTCTATTGGTTTTTCGACCAGGCCTTTCCCAAACATTTTCTTGTTTTTAATATAGGGAATGCAACCTACGAAAATCCCAGACAAAATCATCCATAATCCTGATTGGTAAAATGATTGTTCCCAATTTTGAGTCAAGTCAAACAACAAACCTACAACGACAATTAAGTATATTATTGAAAATCTTGACGGTGATTATGATTCTTACCAGCAAACGGTGGTCCTACGAGCGTACCAATTCCCTGGCACATCAATTGCAGTCCGTAAGCTATGGTGAACCTGTCCAAAGGTACTAGTTCCATTACGATGCCTGGAGTAAAAGCGAAATGGCTCGAAAGCGAAATTCCAAATAACGACGCACTTATTTGTAGCATTATGTAGTTGCCAATGAACCACATTTGGCCCATAATGCTAAGGCCGCACAGCACCAGAAAGATTCCGTAGGTTATCGTGATGTTCATCCAGGGTTTGTCACCGGCCCAACCAAGAACAATCTAGAATTTTTTTCGGTTATAACTGGGTAACCAATTTGCCATGGTTTACATACCATTCCTATAGTGTTCGATATACCAATATTCGAAATAGTGAATGCAGCTTGTTCCGTAGTATACCCACTCAGTGTCATAAGATCGGCTAAATAAAAGTATGGTACTATAAACCAAGTGAACAATAGTACCGTTGATAGAGACAGCAGGAAAAAATGCAATTCGGAAAACAAGGAAAAGTCGAACATGTCTTTTCCTAGTTCTTTTATACTAGCATACCATTTCTAGAAAAAAAAAATGTTTGAACAAAAAAAAAAAAACGCGTTTTTTTTCTCCAAGTACCTTTTTATCATCTAATTTCGACAAAGACAACATAGAAGCATGATGTAAATGTTTTATAGGTGCCTTACGAATAGAGGGACGTCTGGTTCCCGGACAAGAATCTTGTCTAGCCATCAAAGGCTGGCGAGATTCTTTGATCCGAGTTGATACGACCACTTGATTACCATTTTCCTTGGAAGCTATTTCAATAGGATTTTTAGATAATTTTGCTTCTTTTCTGCAATCAAAAATTTAAACACCCACCATCACCTACTACAAATAAGTTCTTACTTGTTTTGTTCAATTATCCAATCCGGGTCCCGCATCAAAGCTCCACAAATGCACATATTCAAAAACACTCCAGCTAAAATAAGCGTAGTACCTCTCCACCCCAATTCTTCTATCAAATAGGTACTGAACGGCGAAAATACAAAAGTACCTATACCTATTCCAGAAGAACCAATACCCACAGCTAAAGTCCTCTTCTTTTCAAACCAAAAAGCTACAGATACTACAACAGTAACGTAGATTAATCCCAAACCAAATCCGGCAATGACTCCAAAAGTCACATACATGTAGCTCAAAGAATAACACTGGGAGCTCAGCACGAATCCTAAGGCTGCTATCAAACCCCCAACTATCGTCATTGGTCTACAACCGAATTTGTCTACAAGGGCACTCATTAATGGTCCTGTCATCAAAGGTACTGCCATGAAAAGAGCTCCTATCCATGACGTGGCACTTTTTGAGGCCTCAAATTCATTCAAAAACTCAATATAGAGCAGGCCAAATGAAAACGTAATACCATCAGCGATCATGCAAAGAACAAACGTTGCAAATACCACAACCCAACCCCAACCACCGTCAGGGATATTAGGCTTGTCGCTGATTTCATCGTTTACGACTTCTTTATTATTAATATTGTCAATTTCCATTATTATTGTTCTTAAGAGAAATCGTTGTATATGTTCAACCAACGTTTCGACCAACCTTGTAGACTTAATCTGGGATCACGGCTGTAACCAATATTGGGCGATGAGGGAATGATTTGGTTTGCCTTGTACCTTTTCATACGGACTGGATTAAGTGGGCGGATTGAATTATTTTGTTATGTCCACGTTTTTGTTTTTTAGATGTAGCGGACAGGTAAGTGCATTATTTGGTAGACAAGATCTGGAAAAAAAACACCACAAATGTAAACACACAGTTAATCGGTAAAATATTCATTACGTTATTCAACTGGTACATGCTAATCTTATTTCTAGTTATGTCTTGTCTTGTATTAGCAACATGTGACATTAAGCAGAAGGGATTTTCAGAAGTTTTCTTATAATTGAGCAAGTGTGTAGCAAGTGATAAGCTCTTAATTATCTTATTTTTACCCTTAAATTTCTAACTCAACTATGAAAGTTGATTTTCAGGATTATTTCATGTTATGATTTCTTATTGGAAAAGTCTCAAATTTTAGTATGATGCACTCCTTATTGTCTTCTTTTTCTCCTAAAAAAATTAAAATTTTCCCTTCCCTAGTTTTTCGGATAAATATTAAAATCTAAGAGGATGTATTTTTTAAAATTAAAATTATCAAAGTCGATTTTCAGGAATTTTTCGTGTTGTTGTTTTCATGATTTTTCAATGAAAAGATCTAAAATTCTAGTATGATGAGCTCCTAATTGTCTTCTTTTTCTCTTAAAAATTTTAAAATTTTCCCCCAACTAGTTTTTAAGAAAAATTTCGCTCTGTAGAGGATAAAAATGAGCTCTCAACCTGTAGCTCCAAAATAATCTGAAATCACTACTATTTATAGTTTTTGAAAGTTTGGAGTTTAAGGGTCAATATCTCTAAAACTCTACAGGCTACAAAACCCAATTTTGCACAGGTTTATAGAGAATTTAATGCTTTTTCCAATGATGTATAGTTATCACTTATTTACTCAATAATAATTGAAGATATAAGCAATTATTCATGAGCATGTCAAGATTTCAAAAGATTTTTAGAGCCAAAAATGAGATTCCCTATTGGATTTTTTTTGTCAATGGAAATTTTCAAATGTAACTGATGTAAGAGTTGTTCCTGACTAACTAAGACTCGCTATATCGATTTCTGAAGTCAAAATTGAGAAAAATCTAAAAATAAAAATTTTCAATTTTTTGCACTTTTTTCTAAGGGTTATTATTACCCTTTGGATTTTCATTTCCAAATCTTCAAGTCTGAATATATCGGTTACTAAAAGCGGCACTGGAACAAAATTTTCATGAATTGTAGCTCTTGATAAGGGCTTTCAGATGGTATTTAACTGAAAGCGCTACTATTTATAGTTTTTAGAAAATCGAGTTTGAAGTTTTGGACAAAATCTAGACTAAATTTCAACTTTGAGGGTCAATATCTCTAAAACTCTACAAGCTACATAACCTAATTTTACACGGGTTGATAGAGAATTTAATACTTTTTCCAATGATGTATAGTTATCACTGATTTACTCAAATATAATTGAAGATATAAGCAATTATATTCATGAGCGTGTCAAGATTTCAAAAAAATTTTAGAGCCAAAAATGAGATTCCCTTTTGGATTTTTTTTGTCAATGGAAATTTTCAAATGTAACTGATGTAAGAGTTGCTCCTGACTAATCGAGACTCACTCTATCGATTTCTGAAGTCAAAATTGAGAAAAATCCAAAAATAAAAATTTTCAATTTTTTGCACTTTTTTCTAAGGGTTACCCCCTTTGGATTTTCATTTCCAAATCTTCAAACCTGAATATTTCGTTAACCAAGAGCGGTACTGAAACAACATTTTCAGAAATTGAAGCCCTTTATAAGGGCTTTTAGATGGTACCTGACTGAAATCGCTACCATTTATAGTTTTTGAGAAAATCGAGTTTGAAGTTTTGGACAAAATGTAGACTAAATTTCAACTTTGAGGGTCAATATCTCTAAAGCTCTACAATCTACAAAACCCAATTTTTCAGGTGTTTATAGAGAATTTAATGCTCTTTCCGATGATGTATAGTTATGACTAATTTACTCAATAATAATTGAAGATATAAGCAATTATTCATGAGCATGTCAAGATTTCAAAAGATTTTTAGACCCAAAAATGAATGAGATTCCCTATTGGATTTTTTTTGTCAATGAAAATTTTCAAATGTAACTGATGTAAGAGTTGTTCCTGACTAATTAACAAAAAATCCAAAAATAAAAATTTTCAATTTTTTGCATTTTTTTCTAAGGGTACCACACGACCTTTGGATTTTTATTTCCAAATATTCAAACAAACCTAAATATCTCGGTAACCAGAAGCGGTACTGAAACAACATTTTCAGGAATTTAACTGAAATCGCTAGCATTTATAATTTATGGGAAAATTGAGTTTGAAGTTTTGGACAAAAACCCCTGTAGCTCCAAAATAATCAGACTTTTTTTTGAAATTATCTAGTATATTTTTAGCTTTAGGAGAGCCGGGAATAAGATTTAAATGTTATCCCAGTTGAAATATTATCTTTAGCTTTTACTCTGGAATAGTCAAAACCTCTGTGGTCAAAACCTTCGAATTTTAAAGCTGAAAATTGAGTTTTCACACTTGTTCTGCTAGATCGACCTGTAGCTCTAAAATAACCAGACTCATATAAACTTCTCTAGTATATTTTTAGCTTTAGGAGAGCCAGGAATAAGATTTAACTTTAGCTTATACCCTGCAAAAGGGTCAAAACCTTCGAATTCAAAAGCTGAAAATAAAGTTTTCATAGTTTTTCAGATGAATTTCGCTCTATAGAAGATAAAAATGAGCTCTCTTTATCAACCTGTAGCTCTAAAATAATCAGACTATTTTTAGTATATTTCCAGGTTTAAAAGATAGAAATGATATTTCATTGGAAAAATCTGAAATTTTAATACGATGAGCTCCTGAAATTATGTTTAAAAATAGTATTATTACGATTTCCCGCCATTGATGTTAACATCAAACCATCAACCATCAACCTGTAGCTCTAAAATAATGAGACTTTTTTGAACTTTTCTAGATTATTTTTAGGTTTAGAAAATAGAAATGATATTTTATTGGAAAAATCTGAAATTTTAGTACGATGAGCTCCTAATTATGTTGAAAATCAAACATTGGAAACCTCTTTTGACAATAGCCAACTATAAAAGTCCAGGTAACAATCTTCAAGATCCGGGAATAATCAAAACTTGTTGATTGTTTGGTTCTAACCTTGTCGAGTTTTCGAATTTGAATTTGAACATAGAAATAGTGGACAAGTAGGTACGTATACCTGGGTCATGAGATAAGAACTTATAGAAATAAACACAAACATATGAAAATTGATGAGAAGAATAACCTTGGGATGGGCAGCATTCGGGAAAATGAGAGATGTGTTTAGGGCTGACATTCCAATATCCCTGAAGAAATCGATTTGAAGAATATGATAAATGGAGATTAAAAATGTACGAAAAATTCCTGGAATAAACAAAAATTGAAACGATAAAGACAAGAGGAAATTAAATAGAAATTGAGAACAAAATTCTTTCTTTTTCTATCACAGGGTCTTGGTCTTGAATGTTCTTTCTTTTGAGAAAGGACCCTCTGCACACCCCTACGGGTATTTGGTTCCCTGTCAAACTCAATGAAAGGACCCTGCACACCCCTTATGGGTATTTGGTTTCCTGTCTAACTCAATGAAATTTTGATATGTTTTAGACCTTGACTTCCTGATAAAAAGTTCTCATGAGCCCGAACCAATCCTATGACTAGTTTTTGAGATACGTATAGGTAATTTAATGTCCAAGAAATGTACACATTTAATATGCATTCACATTTATACAGGGTGAGTTCGAAATAAGTGCGCATTTTGTTATGGTAGGACAATCACTTTTTGCATAGGTACAGTCGTGAGCACAAAAAGTAAGACACCCGTTTTTTCCTATTGTAAAACGGGCTCACCAGCTATACCTACAGCAATGACAGGGATTGTCATATTTGACAAAAAATCGATTGTACAGAGAAGACCGATTTACGCAAAATTGCGAAAAATGACAAGACCTGTCAGTCGGGCGTCCCACTTTTTCTGCTCATGACTGTACATGTGTTCGCAAACGTCTCGTTAAGAAAATACAGAGTGTTCAAATTTTCGAAAAATTTTGACTTTTTGCCTTTATATTCAAAATGACTTGAGCACTTTTGTTCAAATTTTCAGAGTGGCAATGTTCTCAAGCATCTTTCTAAAAAAATCGTTCGAGTTCCACTTTTCCAGGACCGGATCTAGAGCGACTCTTATTTTCTTTAGAGAAAAAAGTGGTATGCCCCTACCCAAGTAAAATTTTTCCGTCTTTCAACGTTATTTGCACCTATTTCAACGTCAGAATAGGTCCATATATTGGTCGTATTACGACTTCACAGCTTCAGTACAACGATGCTTCGACCACGCAAGCCGCCTACCAAAATTAAAGTAGCTTACGAGTAATTCGCCAACGTTGGCGTGACGTCCTTTCTTGACTAAAATATTGAAAGTTATCTTTGGACGTCACTACAACGTCGCCATATAACCTATTATGGCTCGGTAAGCTTTGGTATAGTAAGCAACGTTGATCGGACGTTGTCATTCGACTAAATTTAAATATGCGACACTAAGTTTTCCGACAACGTTGGTTAGACGTCGGTAAATTTACCAAAATTGATTAAACTCTAACAATGTAAACAAAATAAAATGACCCAACTTTTTTTAAGGGTTATTTTAAAATAGTTGACGTCACTTTATGTTGTTATGGTTCTAAAATAATATAACCATCTTTGGTAGAAAATAGGGAAAAATCTTTAGACCAATTTTTAAAATAGTACAGTTTAGGTATAAATAATTAGATCTTCCCGAATTTTCAAGTCGGAAATGGTATAGCATGCGCAACGTCAAATTACGTAGTGTTTAGGTCGGCTTAAGGACTCAAAGTCGGATTCCGACGTTGAGTCGGCTGAAAATTCATTCCCCATTTTAGTAGAATTTTGGTTGTCAGGAAGCATGCCGACATCAGAACATTTTTAACGTATTATTACGTCAAATGACGTCGGATTGTTACTTGGGTGGACTTTTTGACAAATCAGAAATTATTTTTTGATTCCTTGTTAAATTTTAAACAAAAAAGGTATCTCGAGTTTTTCTTGTTCGATGCGACTTTTACCAGA